CCACGCCTCCATGGCTCCCTGGCGGGCGTCCCTTCTGAGCCTAGCCACGACTCGTGGTAATAGGCGGGCGCTCCCGAGCCGGTCTGGGTCCCTCGTACGCCGATAAAATTCAGCGTACGAGTTCGCCAGGAACTCGGCCGGGAGGAGGCCCGCCAGAGCCGTGGCCGCCGCGAACGACGTCGTGCAGTAGGCCCGGATCAGTCTGATGGCCAGCCGGCGCTGTTGACGATGTAACATCGCCTGTATGCGTCGGTTGGCCGCAACCCTGTCGGCCCACACCGGTGCCCCGTAGAGGAGCACCGATTGCACGACGTTCGCGTAGAGTCTTCTGACTCTGTTTCTAGGACTACCCAAGTTCGGAAGGAGGCAACTCAACGCGGTCGCCATCCTATCCGCTTTGGGGGTTATCCCAGCGAAATGCTGCTCAAACCCCCAAAGTCCATCCAGAGTGAGGCCCAGATACCTCATCTGGGTCCCCACCCGGACACGGACCTCCCCCACCCAGATCTGGGTGGGGGGAGGACGCCCCGAGGTCCTATCATAAAAGAACAGGGTCTCCGTCTTCTGCGGGGCGACCTCTAGTCCCATCGTTCGTATAGAGTATACGACCGCCCGGGTGGCGGCGTTCGCCGCGTTCCGGGCCTCTCTCCAGCTCCTCCCCCGGGCCACCACCAGGGTGTCGTCCGCATAACACAGCAGACGACAGCCCGGGGGAAACGCCGTGCGGAGCACTCTGTCGTATGCGAGGTTCCATAATAGGGGTCCTAGCACCGACCCCTGAGGAACCCCCCAGCAGACTTCCCTTCTGCTTACCCGCTCCAGTTGATCTCTGTACTGGAGCGTCCTGTCGCGGAAATAGTCTCAAAGGACCTCCCTTATGTATGGGGGAAGGCCATGGGACTCCATGGCCTCCGTCACACATTCCCAGGGGAGGGAGTTGAAGGCGTTGACGATGTCTAGCGACACCGCCAACGCCACATCCCCGTCCCCTACAATTTGGTCCGAGAGGGCCCGCAGATGCACAATCGCATCTGTTGTGGATCGGGCCTCCCGGAACCCAAACTGGTCCTCCGATAAATTGGGACCACCATCCCGCGACAGGTGCTGGACGATTTGGCCGGCAATGATTCTTTCGAATAGCTTACCGACCTCGTCCAGCAGGCAAATCGGCCTGTAAGCCGAAGGTTGCTCCGCCGGTTCCCCTCCTTGCGAAGGAGCACAAGGTTCGCTTTCTTCCACAAGGAGGGGAAGGTGCCCGTCCTGAGGCATGCGTTGTACAATCTCCTCAGGCGGGCACCCACCACGCCAAAGGCCCATACACGGCTGGGAACCCCGTCCGGGCCGGGGGCTTTACCAGCAGCCCCCAGCCTTTTGGCCGCCTCGGATAGCTCCCTCTCTGATATCTCTAGGTCCCTGGTCCAAGTGGGGGGGCGGGTCCTCCCTAGGGGGGGATGGTGAATGTCTCTTATCGGAAGAGACTCCCCACCACCTGGCCGAGGAACCCAGGGTCCAGCATCTTCGAGGTTGGGGGCGCCGCCGGTCTCAATCTGTTGAGTACCAGACGGTACGGACGCCCCCAAGGGTCCCGGTCGAGCTCAGCGAGCAGCTCCTCCCAGGCCTTGGCCTTGGCCCTGCCGATGGCTGTCCGCAGGGAGCACCTTGCGGCCAGGTACTCCCCGCGCACCTCTGCAGTGCTTTCATCCTCTCCACCCGCCCGTCGTCGGGCCCTGAGGAGATCGCGTCTAGCGGCGTTTACGCTCCTTCGCAGATCTGCGATCTCCTCGTTCCACCAATACATGGCCCGACGGGGGGCGGGCTTTGATCGGGGCATGGCCATGTCGCACATGCGCTCGGCCATGTCTCCGATCTCCTCGGCTTCGGCCCCGGTGTCGACGAGGTCGGGAGGATCCGACCACGCCTCCACCAAGGCCGCCGCCACCAATCTATCTTGATTCAATTGGGCCAGTGCCTACCTTCTAGGGGGTTTTTCGCCCCTGTGACGATGGCGGCGGGTCAGCACCTCCTGGGGGGTGGCAGTCAGGACCATCTCTATATAGAGATGATCCAAAAGGGACTCTCGGTTTGCCACCTCCCAGGTCCTCACCAAGTCCGCGGCCCGGGGGAAGCCCACGTCAAGTCGACAATAGACTCCCCCGGGGGCGGACGCAGGTGTTATTCGACCCCCTGTTCTGCAACAGGAGGCCAAGACCCGCCGCCCAATCCAACACGGCCTCACCCCTGATGTTGGTATACCGGGAACCCCACGCCTGAGCCCAGGCGTTGAAGTCCCCGGCCACCAACACGGGATGGGGGAGGCATCGGCGAATGCCCGCCCCCATTGCCCGCAAGTGTTCTCTAAACTCGGGGTGAGGCCGCTTTGGTGAGGCGTATACCCCCACCACATATAAGGCACCCCACCGCGCTATGACGAACTCCACCCCCCGTTCCACTAGGGTAAGGAGGGGGGAGCGCGGGGAGTGCCTCCTTACAATGGCGACAGAGCCGTTCGAGGCCGAGACCCAATTGGGATTGGATTCCGGCATCCGATACGGCTCCGCCACCACTCCTAATCCCGCATCACGCCCGCACAGATCCCCCAGGAACAAGTCCTGGGCACGGCGAGCGTGATTTAGGTTGGCCTGGAGGAGTTTCGTGGACATTATTGGTTCTTAAGAACCTGTCCCTCCTCCAGGCCACTCGTGCCTGCTGTTTCGGCGACAGCTAGCGGTGGATCTACGTCCATGGCCTCCGCAGAGGGATTTGATTTCCCCTTTTTGGACGACTTCTCCGTTGCCGCCTGTTTTCCCTCCTTGGTTTTGGGAGGGGGGATGGGTGCCTGTGTGGCAGCTCCCCCTTCTTCTTATTGCCCCCTTGGGGGCTTACACGCCGGCCCCCCATGCGGTGGGAGGCCGGTGTGCGGTGGCCCTACTAATTTCAACTATAAACGACATAGCCGTCTAATAGCCGTCTTTCCAACCTGTTTTTTCTCACTAGGATGCTAATATCTGGGAACTAATTTAGTACTTTTTTTCGTCTACTATATCGATATCTCATGCACACATATATAAAAATATTCATACATTATGTTGCGCCCGCAAATGATCTTTCTGTGTTTGGCGCTCGCTAAGATTCGCTCATTTTGTAAATAGAATTTAGCATTTAAGAATGGTATAGTATATCGTCGAGTTATTTGTGTTGCATTTTGTTGCTTATATTCAATTGTTTAAAGTTGCTTATTAATTAAATTACTTTTGTTAATAATCTCGTTGGTTGACGGCGATCTGGTAACGCACCTTTACATTCGCGGCTCACTGTGACGTGCTGCCCTCCGTCAATCAGCGAGGATATCTCCAAAATCATTTTGGGGGAACATACTACTGCCGCGCACTTGTTTTCCAGTAAGATACAGGCGCTAGTACGAGACACACTGTCAGTCGCTCGAGACAGGCAAACATATTCATTTTGCGGAGCGATCTCGCCGTCTACAGTCGGACGTCCGTCGTTGCCTAATGACATAACGCAAAAGCATTGGGAAAAATAGAAGCACCTCGCATGTCTTTGCACCTTGCACGCTTAGCATAATTGCATGCTGCTACGATCTGTGGATTGACTAGATCATGGGCCTGGGCTCCACCGATGGACGGGCCGTTCACGAATCAGGAAGTCGTTCCGGCACACGGTGAGTCGCTTGATCTTGCTCGCATGAATAAATTATCTCTTAATAATTTAATGATTAGACCGTTGCTTTCGTACGACGGCATTTGTTACGATATCGCCGTCGCCTTCGCAACAACTTTCGCGTAACAATCGCTACGGCGGGAACGTTATACCCCCGCCGAACATTCTGTCACGTCAAAAATCGGCACTCGCAAAAAAAGATTATAACAAGAACACTTTTTAAACAACAACAGAAATTTTAATTTACATAACACTGAACAGAATTTCACAGAATAATACTGTTAAATATTAAACACCGCTAAGCTAGCAGACACGCGTCCGCACTCTTCTGCAGCTCCCGAAAATCTCAACCTGTCATTTTATTTTTAATCACCAAGCAACCATTCTCTTTATTTACTACATCCTAGTAACCATTTTCTTTTATTAATAATAAATCAACATTTACAATTTCCTAGCAACTATCCTCCTTTATTATTTATAACTCCGCAAATCAATATATTGTTCGCGGTTCCATCAGCTGTTAAACGCAATACTGGGCGACAAAAATCAAAACAGTGAGAACGCAACAATTAGTTTTCGATAAACTAAGTTTCTAAACTAAATTTTGAGGGTTCCATGTTGTTCTTCCATATAATTTACATTGTGGGAACATTCGTACAAATTGTATGATTGATGCATGAAGAGAATATTGTCATAAATTAACAGTTTTGAAAGTAAAGAGAAATCCTCTTTTTTAATTTTTGTCTTTCTTTCAAGTCTATGCTTCCGCAATGTATTATTAAATGTATTTTAATTATAGAAAAGGATTTTTAATTGTATGCAGACAATCAAAAAATCTACGTGTAAAAAATCATATTCAGTCGGTAACTCCAGAATCTCCTTAAGCATGTTTTTTAAAACGAGACACCTTGTATATAGAGTCCTGTTGTATATACAGGGTGTCTTGAAAGATCAGAGCCAAACTTATACAGTGTCTTAATAGGGTCTAATAGGTGAAAAAAGCTCATATAAACTTATGTACGAAAATGCTTTATTAAAAAGTTATAAGTGTTCAAAGATTCGTTTTCCTTCAGTAATTAAGTACTTTTATAGAACATGCATCAATTTGTTATATTTCTGCAACCAATACCGTTTTCTACATGTGATTCTTGCTGGGATTTACTCAGAAAAACCTCCCCTACAACATATCTTAGCGGCAAAAGAATCGGTGAGGTGTATCTGAACAATTACCAAACAATTATGCTCATGATAAATCTTTAAACGTTTATAACTTTTTAGTAAAGTATTTTCATAAGTTTATATGTACTATTTTTACTTACTGGACCCCATTAGTACACTGTATAAGTTTGAGTGTATTTCTGAACACCCTGTATATTGATATATAAAAACATTGATTTTTAACGATAATAAATGATGCTCTGCATTATAGACTTTTGTTCTTTTAAATATGTATGATACATATTTCTTGAATAGTTACGAACCTATAATGCAGTGTCATTTATTATCGTTAAAAATTGAAATTGCTTAATTGGCCCGCTTAATTGGCGGCTCTAACTGCGACAGCGAAATCTTTACGGCAATTTATCGTCGTCCGAGTGGCGTCTCTGTGTTTTTCAACACACGTCTCTTGCAAAGCCTCCCAAAATAACGACGACGCCGACCGCGACATTGGAAATCATTCATGCTAATTAAACACACCCGTGATTCAGCTGACCGACGAGGAATTTCTACAGCCAATGAATATTCGCAAATTGTAATCTGAGGAGAGCAAAGCTGTCCTTGTTTTTTTCAAAACGACAACACGTGTAAAATTGTAAGTTGACAGTTTTCTCTACATGCACAAACTGAAAATTTAATTGCTTAAAAAATTCGCAAATTTAAAGACACAATTTATAGTGAAAAAATTCTGAGAAACAATACTCTATATTTTTATATTCGTAATGACTTCGTATAGTATACATTATACGAAGTTATCGAACAGAAAATACATTCAAATTAGTGATATAACTTACTATAGTTATTATTAC